AAACAAAAAATTGAAGAAGGTTCTAAATGACAAAAGCAAGTTCACATAAAGGAATGGACGTGGAAACTTGTCACACTTTCGAAAGGCCATAAATTCATCTATGTGAAGTGGATTTTTTTAAAAATAAAGAATGTCAATAAAGACATGAAAAAATATATATACATAGCAGGATCGGTGGCTATAGAAAATAAGCAAGAAATATCCATAGAATACAACAAGAAATCTGCTCCCATTAACCATATGGAAACTAAAAGATTGATATTATCTATTGCAGCTCAAGTTCAATGGAACATTCTTTACATGGACATCAAATCTTTCTTGGAAAGGAAGTCTTTGTAATACTTTATAGCTAGTATAAAAATGGCATAAATAAAATTTTTGGAGTTGAATAAGGTAATATATAATTTGAAAGAAGCACTCTGAGCATGAAATATTTATAAATACCAGATGGATTTTGCAAGATGGATGAAGAAACCTTATGGATTTTGCAAGATGGATGAAGAAACCTTACTTGCTTCAAAACTAATAATTTTGAATAATGTCATCAAGAGAATCCTTTACATAAATAACAGATGGATAAAGAAACCTTATTGTTTTTTATCTGAATTATCTTGTTTTCATAAGAAATAACACGCAAATGATTAGTAAATTCAAGCTCAATAGATATACTTGAGAGTTTAACATAGGGCATGACTTACTTTTTTTGAGTGAATTAAAACTAGGAAAAATAAAATAAATGCAACAACAAAGCCTTAATCCCACTACGTGGGGTCGGCTACATGAATCCTCTTTCTCCATTGTGTCCTATTTAGTGTCCTATTTTCATTTAGTTCTAATAAATTAAGATAATTTTTTTATACAATAAGCCCAAGTCTTCCTAGGTCTACCTCTGCCTTTCTTAACATAAATCGAATCTAAAACATCTAATCTTCTAATCGGATCATCAGATGTTTTGACGTTTAATGTGACGTTTAATGTGACCAAACTATCTAAGATGATTCTATCTAACTTTGTCCGTCACTGGAGCTACACCAACCCTATCACGGAGATATTCATTTCGCATTTCGTCTCTAATTGTAAAGCCACTCATCCAACTAATCATTCTCATCTCGACAACACTTAACTTAGCATTATGCTTCTCTTTTAAATGTCAACATTCAATGCCATAGAGCATTTCAGGTCTCGCCACAATCTTATAAAATTTTCCTTTCAGTCTAAGGGGTACTTTTCTATCACACAAAAGGCCTGAATCATTCCTCCACTTCAACCAATCAACTTGAATTTCAACTTGAATTCAACTTGAATTCTACTATTAACATCCCCATCTAAACCGTTCACATTTTTAATAATTTAATCACCTAAAGTTACACTTCTGTCATTATAGCTACTACTAGTAAAATCACTTCCATGTATTTAGTTTTAGTTCTACTCAAATGAAGGCTTTTAGAATCCAATGTAGACCTCCATAATTCATGTTTTTCCCAGGCTTTTTCTCTCATCTTATCCACGAGAAAGATATCGACAGCAAAAAGCATGCATCAAGGTACATCCTCCTGTAACTGTCCAGTAAGACCATTCATAACTAAAGCAAAAAGATATAAGCTTAAAGCCGATATCTGATGTAATCCAACAGAAATAGAAAAATATTTGGTCAATCGTCCTTCAGTTCGAACACAAGTAACAGCTCTAGTATACGTCATATCAACACTTTTCTTCTCAAGAACACTCCAAAGGATATCTCTTGGAACCTTATCGTAAGCTTTTTCTAAATCAATAAAAATCAAATGCAGACCTTTTGTATTATCTCTGAACTTCTCCATCAAACCTCTCAATAAATGTACAGCTTTCATGGTAGACCTGGCTGGCATAATCCAAATTGATTATGAGAGATCTTTGTAATACGTCTTAACCTATGTTCAATTACCCTCTCCCATAATTTTAAGGTATGACACATCAATAATTCCTCTATAATTTGCACACTCTTGTGTGTCCCCTTTATTCTTAAAAATGGGGGCCAAAATACTCTAGCCAAAATACTCAGACATCTTTTTAGTTTTTAAAATAATATTAAAAAGTTTAGTAACATCTCCAACTCCCACATCTCCTAAAAATTTCCACACTTCAATTGGGATATCATCAGGTTCTACAGAATTTCCACCCTTTGCTTTTTTTAAAACCTCCTCAACTTCTTTTTTACTAATGCGACGGTAAAAGTGAAACATTTTATTATTATTAACGATATTAAGATCACTAAGATCGATCGTATTTTCAGAAACTTCATTAAAATTCTTTCAGAAACTTCATTAAAAAAATTATCAAAATAACTCACTCACATTTGTTGTATATCAATATTAGAAAATCAAAATCCTTGCAAAAGGACTGAAAATGTAAGCCATAGCAAGATGAAGCAAAGAGCAAGCATTGGTAATGAAAACAATCCAGCAGTTAGGACATAAATATAACTAAATTAATAAGCGCTTAATCAACTTAAATTTACATAAAAATACCCACATAAAGTCAGAAGTTACCCTTGCAAACAGTTTTAGAAAATATGGAATACGACTCTCTGGAAAAAGCCAAAAAAGCTTCACATGGATCTTGAGATGAAAGGTGGGAGGGAAGACGTTTCAGGGTTCTAGAGAGTCTAATGATGTTAATATCATTAGAGGAATTAAAAACCTTATTCTCTCTATAGGAAAGCAAGCACAAGTGCCTCTCAGTCGCTTAATCAATGGTGAGTACTTAAAGCCTATTACATTACTGTATATTACTTTTCAAGTGCTTCATTTAGAGATTTACATATTCATATGGTTGAAATTCATTATAACTTTGAACTTTACAAACCTGTAGACGCTAGGACTTTGATTGGATTGAAGTAAAATGTAGGGAATAAATAAAATCCCAGTAATCTATGGATTGCTTATGAATTTGTGGTCGATGATTTAAGCTTTTTTTAACTTTTTTCCATTCCACTCAAATTCTCAGCATCCAAACATAGCTTGAGAGTTTTGAAATTGCAGCTAAATATTTGAAAGACAGAAGCATTGTACCCACATCCATAACACAAAATTCAACCATCCTAAGAACAATTCTCTTAAGACATCAAATATATAAATGTAAATATAAAAATCTTTACGTATTGATGTTGTTTTGCTTCATTATTTTTATCCTAGTTTATTTCTAGTGTAAAACATGCTCATGATGATGATCCTATTGAAAAAAAGTTCATATGCATTGATATAGATTTATTTCTTTGTTTTCTTGTTTCATAGATTATTTTAATTTAAAAGATACTTATGATGACAATTTTATTGAAAAAAAGTTGTACTCTCCTGTCTCCATTAGAGTTATTAACATATTATGTTTGGTATCCTGCTAGAGGCTTCAATTAGCATATGAGCACTCTTAGTTTCAATTTTTTACTGTTTTCTATTGTACAATATTTCAGAATTTCTTCATATGAAATTTTCATTCTTGTTCTCTCCATCTACACATCCCTGTAGTTTCAGTCTGTTATGCTTGTTAACACCAATGGTGGCTAAAATCTCTGGAGACACGATGAAAGCAATAATGCTATAATAGTAAAGAAGTAGGAGATTGCTAATTGTAATGATACCGAGAGAAGTTGATGAAAAGTTTTTACATCTTTAAAGATTCCTATACATGGTTTCCTTCTATGTCGGCAATGGTTTTCCATCAACAAGGACTACATGCAGGGCTCGTGTATAGAGATTGCCACGTCTTTGGATTTCCATTTGAGGATATAGATTGTGAACAAATTTGGACAACAAGAGTTGAGTCCTATTTTTACACTGGTAGAATTGGATCTTGCAATTTTTAAATAGATCTAAAAGTTCCAATGAAATTTCTTATTGTGGATATTTAATGGGTTATGCATAAGAGCCGTAAAGCATATAAAGTTTATTACATTAAGTAGAGTAAGAAAATTATAGTATGCATCGATTCTTTTGTGTGTGTGTGAGTGCATGTGTGGGTGTGTTTGAATATGGATTCTTTGACGGCTATTTCTAGGGGCAAGTCTCCTTATGCTGGCATTAGACATTGATCTTATATTGAGAGATATCTGACATTTTTCTTGATATTCACTTGTTTGGCGATTGGTATAATATATTTCAAAAACCTTTTTTACAATGAAGCTTGATAATTTGTTAGAACTTTATATTTGTTCACTTTTTTAATGCAAAATTTCAGATCACATCGAAAATTCCTTTATTGTTCAAAATGAAAAGAGTGTGTTTAATGTATTCACATTAAAAAAGACTATTTTTTATTATAGTTGAGAGTTGGTGAACTACAGATTATTATATTCTGTGTATTTCAATTGTGCATCTCACCCTAAGTAACCTAGACCCATACGGATCCTACATGAATTATTTATGATCAGAAAACTACAGTGTATAGAAGAAATCCTTGTTCTTCTGGTATTTGTCAAATGTATCCATATAACACAGTTGCACGGAACATTGCCACCCTCCTACATAATTTCAGTACTAACAAGCCAAAAGAAATATGATTATCACCATTTTCCTTCTGCACATTCACAAACCTTCTACAAAAAGCTTCTCCATCCAACCCAAAATCCATGAAAAATTCAACAATACAATCCTTAAGAGACTCTTTTGCATTCCTCGTAGCATACAGCAAAGAAACTCAGTATTTTAATCATGGTTGAGAACTGAAGTCCATCAAAAGATTATAAAACGCGCAAATAGAGCAATTTTCTGGTCATTTTTGGTGTATATTTTAGCCTAACCCAGTCAAACAAGAGAAGACGAAATCAGAGCATTGTCCAAATAATTAGGGGAGGTTAAACAACTAATATAAAGCCGTAGACGAAAAACACAGGCATATGGAGTCAAAGAAAACATTGCCATAGAAAAGTCGTTCAAAGATGATGAATTCAATATTTTGTTAACAAGCTTTCAGTCGGCCATCATGGGCAAGAAAAATTAAAGTATATAGAAAGAAGGGTTTTTTACCTGTTCTTGGAAAGAAGGGGCTTAATGAGGTAAGCAAAGCGGACTCCATTTTTTTTGCAGCTGAAAAAAGAAATCCTGCGGCTTTATCTCTTATTTACGGAAATCCTGCGGCATTATATTTCAGTCCTCTGGCACGCTTAAAACTGAGCTTATAAATGGCGTGCTATGCATATGTGTAACGATATGGAGCAGAGAAAAGCAATATAGACAGGAAAAAAAAAAAAAAACTCATTGAAATTTTTAATTTATTCTAAGGTAATATAATATTAATTAATTATATAATATATTCATTTCCAATTAAGTTATAAATTTTGAATACTATTTTAAATAAGATTTTGATGATAATGTTTCAGCATATACCTTTCATAATAAAAAAAGTGAAATATATGTATATATATGTATGTGTGTGTTTCTTTTTATATATATAACCAT